CTCACTTTCTCTACTGAATACTGATAGGCTGTCTACTCCGTGGTCTGAGTTTCAAATCTCACCCTCCCTCCGTCGCTGCATCCGCTACGGAGGAAGAAGAAGAAGAAAGGGGAAAAAAAGAAAAAAAAAAAGGGGGCTACATGCAGGAGGAAACAGCAGAAGTTAATGCACTGAGGTAGACATAAATTCACTTAAGTACCATTTCAGATTATGTCAAGCTAAAAATGGGCTTAACATCGTGGAAAAGAGGGGAGGAAGGGGAGGGAGGCGACGGAGGGAAAGCGCCGCTTTGGTCGGGGTGGCCTTGCCAGCGGAAACTGGCCGAGTGGCTCGCACAGGCAGCGAGAGAACAGGCAGAGCCGGCAACAAAAGGGAAAAGACGTGTGAAAAGTTCAGGCAAATGAAGACGCATTCAGTCCGGGTTTTTTTTTTTTTTTTTTGTCTGACTCCCACCCTCCCATTTCATTGTTGGGCACGTTGGCTACGGCGTAGCCAAGGGGGAGAAGAAGGGAGTGAATAAGGTCGTCAAAGAGCCCCAGTGAGCCTCACACACACATTCATGCTCAAACACACACATATGCAGTGAGAGCAGGGGAGAGTGTGACAATAAAAGAAACAGAAATGTCCTGCTTTTTCCAAAAACAACACTGAGGCGCAAAGACCTTCCAGGGTATTAGTGTGTTTAAGTCAGTGTAAGTGAAAGTGTGTGTGTGTGTCTGCAGCAGGGCGAGAGAGTTTGTCTGTGCCTCGTCTCTTTGGAGGAGTCTTTTCTGTCTGCATTAGAAAGTGCAGCGCGTCTGAGACACTGGCAGAGGGAGTGTGTGTGATTTTGTCCTCCAAGTCTTCCCCAGGCGTCCTTGAAGAAGTCTTGCAGGGAATAACTGACTCTCTCTTTCTCTATCTGTGTGTGTGTGTGTTTCAGTACCTGAGGCTTGCCTCCCAGTGCTGTATAACAGGTGTTCCCTCCTCAACTTGAGGTTCTCATAAAAGTAACAGAAACCTCAGCGAGAGGCTGAAGAGAAAAAAGAGTTAACCTGATGGAAATGGAATGAATCCAGTGGGTGACACGAACCGTGACTCAGGTCACGTGTGTGTGTGTGTGTGTGCGTGAGATGACGTCTACAGTAGGTCCTCACAGCAGTGTCCTGACTACGGCCTTCACATCGCTGGATTTAAAACTCATTATATTTGAACGTGACTTGGAGGCGATCCCAGCAGCCACTGGGTGAGGGCGGGGTCAGACCACGGGGCCACATATAGACAAACAACCATTCACACTCCCATGCCAAACTGTGGACAATTTCAAGTGAACCATTAGCGTTGTACGGCCTGTTTATGGACCGTGACCGAAAGACGGGGATTGAACAACAGAGAGAAAGTCATCTGTAAGGCAGGAGCACAAGACAAACGTCCACCATGTGGCGCTCAAGTTGTAAAGATGTCTTAAAAGGGGAAAAAAGGGATAAAGAAAACAGATCATCTAGACTAGAGCAGACATGGGCAAACTACGGCCCGTGGGCCAGATATGGCCCGCTGGACTTTCAAATCTGGTCCCCTAAACACTGGTACAAAGTATAGTGAGGAAATCTGGTCCCCTAAACACTGGTACAAGGTACTGATGTAACTCCGTCTGTTTCATGCATTACATCAAATCTAAGGAAACTGAATCTGTTGATGCCACTAGATGGCGGTAGACATTAAACGTGTCTAATTATCTTCGAAAGTTTGTATTTATATTACTGTCCTACATCCAACTAATACTGATACCGGCCGGCCAATCAAGTTTTGAACCCCATTTTGGTCAAAAAGTCTAGTCACTCTAGATCTACATCTGCATGATAGATCTGCATTTTCACGGTTTTTAACGTCGTCCCGCAAATTGAGATTTTGTCCCTCATTCTTCTGAGGTGGAAAGGAACTAATTACATATACTCACTTTATTGTAATTGAGTCCTTTTTGTCAGTAATTTGGGGAATAGGTAATTTTACTTTTACTTAAGTACATTTTAAGTTAGTCTCTAATGAAGTTTCTTCATTCCTGTAAAACAGACCAGCTCCAGGGTTGTTGTTGCCTGGACTGTGACCTTTGGCCAGTTGATAGCCCTTTAATGGTCGTTGTGTTTCATCCCATGATGGAAACTGAACGAGAATAACAGTGTGGAGCCCTGGTCTGTCTTTAGTTTTCATCAAATGCACAAAACATATACATACATACATACATGCAGTAATACAGTACACCATACAGAATGCAGAGCAGGGAAACAAATATCCCGTGGGTAATTAAGTAAATGAGAGTAATAGGTTAGTGAAGTGTGACACTCAGAGATCAGAGGTCATTACTATTTACTCAAAGACATAAAGCAGAGGTCAGTAAACAATGGACGGACATGGGAGGCAGTTTTATGACCACTGCTGAGGTGATTTACTCTGTGTCTCATGGACTGCCTCAGACGTTCTGCTCCCCATTTTAAATATTGTGAAAACCTGGATCTGACTCTTTGCAGCTAAAACACACTGTGGATGTGCCGCGAATGAAAATGAAGCTGCTCTGCTGAAGCCATTCCAAAACTAAAGCCTGGCAATTTTATTCCATCATGTTGTGTTTGAATGTATAGAATACTTAAAGAAAAAAAAATATTTACAGTAATCTTTAGACAGAAGTATTCTTCAGTAGGGGAGGAAATAAGAAGGCTGCAATACTACCACTTGCCAGAAGGGGCTGTACTCTAAAAAAACTCATGTTCCTATTAATGTCAATTCAAAAATCATTATGCTAAATATATTTTAGATATTTTATTTTTTGTCATTAGTATCGGTCTTTGAAACCAATTCTAATTGTTAAACAAACAAAGCTGCAGTACTACCACTTGCCAGAGGGGGCTGTCCCGCAAAAAATAATTCCCCTAAATTTCCTTTTGAAATTTTTTCCCAAAAAAAGCTTGGTTCATTTTGAACGTTTTTTTCCATGGTTTTCCTAAGACAAAACAAAACAGATTCAAAAATAAATAAAACCACACAGAAAGAAAAACTGTTTTTTTCCCTGTTTGCTTGAGGACGATGCCATGCTCAGTGCATCTCAGTGGCAACCTGGCAGTTGGTGGATTCGAACCTGGGGCCTTCCGGACCGAAGTCCGCCTCCTTCACCACTAGGCCACCACTGCCCCAATTATGTTTAAACTCATTGGTAGAATCGGTCCTGAATACATCCAAAGTCATAATATATTGTCCGACCAGTAAGAGCTTTAAAGCACATTTTCAAGGGTAAAATGAGTTTTAAAACGCAGCTACACAAATCCAATTCTAATGACATGACAACATTCTGTGAACTTTTGAATTTCTATTGTAGCTCTGAGCTATAATTCCCTCTGCGATGAAAGTGATTTCACACCAAGCAGTGACACAGACTGAATTTTCTTTTCATTTAAAAAAAATGTATATATTTTTTTATACAAAATAAAACTAATATTTCACATTTCATGGAAGGTGCGAGGCTTTTTTCAGTCATTTAAGACCACAGGCAAAAGCACTTCTGTCTAGACCAAATAAATTGGAACGAGCTTCTCACTCTGACATCTACTTCAGAACTCCGTACCACTATAATCCTGTAGCACAGGACAAACGTACAACGACGTTTTCTTCACCCACGACACGGCACGGCTAGCGCGCGGGCGATAAGTGTGAACGTCGGTTTAAAGATAACTGCCGTGGAGCAGATAATATTCAAAATCTATCAGACAATAATTCTTTGAGGCCACTCGCCCATTAAGGAGCCGTTTCTCCTTTTGTTGCGTACGCTCCTCCATATTTCATTGAGATGCATATCTGCCGCCCGCACCGTCCGCCCGCTCCTGCGCTCTCCATTCAGCACTGACCCATCGCTCCCTGCCACACAATCCTTCACCTTTCTGAGCTTAAAAGTAATTACCACTTTAATTTGCTGCTCGCTTTTGTGCATTCTTGAGTATATCTGTACCTGAGTGTGTGTGTGTGTGTGTGTGTGTTCATGTGAAATAAATGGAAATAGCAGGCAGTCAGTTCATTAGCCGATAGACGGAAAATGAAAACAGAAAAATCACCTAATTGTTAAAGTCAGTTATCAACTAAATTAAAGTCTGTGGTTTTAGATCTTTTTTTCTTTCTTTCCTTTCACCCAGGATTGTCCTCAGTTTAGATTTTGTGTGAAGTGAGTAGATTTTGATTTTAGACAGTTGGTTGGACACAAAGGAAGCAATTTGAGGAGCTCTTCCTCAGGGCCTGGGCGGGGGGTGGGGGGGGGTCGTGCTGTGTATTTTTGTCATGGTATTTTGACATTTTCCCTTAGACGTCGTGTGTTTAACACCACAGGATCTCTCTCTGTGTGTGTGTGTTTTCAC